TGTAGTAAGAAAATCACCTTGAACGGAAATCTGAATTACAATAGCAAAAGGTTAAAAAACTAGAAACTCTTGATGTAAGTGCAAAAAACTTATAGAAGGTTGTTTTTGAAGTACACGTAGATGTAATATTATCTAGCATATGACATAAAACAATTAATTTTTCCAATTTCAATAGGCTGTAAAAAACAGTTATAGTAACTTTATTAAATGTAAAAGTATACAGTAATAAAAATTATATATAGGATTGATAATGGTTAAACAAAGGCATCATATTTGGGTTTTTCAATAGACTAAGCAAAAAGGTTTTTATTATTTATTTGCTGATTCATCTTGGTAAAAATATCCTCACATAAAAAGCAAACTATTATTTTTATATTTTTTTAATCTAACTTATAATAAAAGAAACGTACCGATAGCTGTTTGATATATACATATATCTTCATCTTCTTAGACTGCCTACTAATTCTGAGTGTCAGCGTCAAATTGTGTCAATACTACAAATTTTTCTTTAATTATACTTATCATTACTAATCATAAAATGTAACATTTAACTGTTAGTATTCAATTTTATCATTTTATGTACATTAAAGTACAATCTATCTTACTATCGCTGTGTAAAGGTCTTTCGATCGCGCAGAATGTATCAATTCGACAATAGTTCAAAATCCTGCGGATATTCCTTAACCATCAGAGTTGCTTCCACTCTACATCTCTACGACCTTCTCAACGGTCTTGAAGTAAAAGTTGCAACAGTTCGTATTTGGGTGTACGTATTATGTATCCCAAGTATGCTGTTTTTCTTTTTATCATGGTTTCTAACAGTTCACTTTCTTGTTGCATTCTTCTGAACATTGGTAACTTTATTCATTGGTAACTTTGTCTGTTCAAGGTACCTTCAATTTATTTATTGAACTTGTTTTAAGAGTCAAAGTTTATACTCCATAGAGTAAGACTGACCATACGTAACGTTTCATATATCTCATTCTAAGCATTAGACTAAATTCTGGATTGTTCAATATTATTTTGTACCGTATGAAACTATTTCTAGTCATTTGAATTCTACATTTGATTTTTTGATGTGGGTCCCAAAGCTCATTCAAAGAACATCCCAGATACTTAAATTTTGAATCATGCTCAATATTTATGATATTGTACTATAAAATAAAATTAAAATTTATTGTGAGTAGGTATTGTTCTGGATAATTTAGATCCAAACAAATTTTTGGACGTTGAAGCTCTGTGACTTAGTTTTACTGCTTTTGATAGCTGGTGTTTCGCAATGTTATGCAAACTGAACTTTCTTTGTGTATAAAGGTGAGGTTTATAGTGTCACTGTTTATGTTGTCGCTGTTCATATTGTCACTGTTCATGTTGTCACTGTTTACACTGTGACTGTGTATATTGTTACTGTTCACACTATTACTGTATATATAATTCTTATTAAGTATTTAATTATTATCCTAATCACTTACTTGCTCTGTTTTTAAAGTTTACAAATTATCTAATTTTTTTTAATGTACGACTAACATAACGTCGGTAGCTTTTATCAATAAAATAATAAATAGTATTAATAATAGTAATTCTAATAATGTAAGTCAATAGAAATGTTGTCGCTAATCACGAAGGTCAGTGTCAGGTGCAGAGGCAGCTGATATTGCCTCTGATATGATTCGCTACGCCGAAACTATTCGGTATAGTCTGCTGTACAACTATGACAACATTTTTTTTCTATGCACTCTTTAGAGTTCTTACTATGCCTTCTGTAACTCCAAGTGTTGATATGATGTCTCTAAAACAATGTTGTCTAGGAGAAAGATTATTAGCATTATTTGTAGAAATAGCGACTTTAACTTTAGTAGTTTTTTCAGTAATTTACCAGCGGTGTCCACCGAATAAAGTGGATGGTGTGCTTCACCTAGTTCAAGCGCTCATTTTTTCTTTAAGAGTTTGCTTTTTTTGCTTTCATAGTTCTGTAAAAATACTATTTATTACAGATGTTATAAGTTTACTAATAGTATTACCAATAGTGCCAATAGTGGGTTTTCTGAGAAATGTTTTTTTGTAGTGGCACTCCTACTTAGAAAAAAGAGCTTGTCTTTCATATTTAGTTGCTCTAGCTTTTCCTTCTGCGTTTCTCTTCTCTTCTCTTGTGTTTTGTATATTTGTGGTCTCTACTGATGTAGTCTTCAAGAACTTTCAAGATGATAATGGGGAATCACCATCTTTTATCAGTAAACGATTTTTTGAGTTAAAATATTTTCGTGTTTCTGATGTGTGGTCGATCGGTTTAAGACCTTTCTCACATTATGTAACCATTTTCTCTGCAGACAATCCACAACTCATTAGTTTTTGGTCTATTACAGTTATGCTGTAGATGCCCTTTTTCAAAGCATTTAAATCAACGATTCACAACCGCAAGTAGTTTAATTCTGCATTTAACTAATCCTACACGAATACGCTCGTTTTGAACGACTTCTTTACTGATTCTGCTAGAATGGAAACGTACGCTCTTTGTTTCCTGCTATTGGAATTAGATATTTCAATGTCGATTTCTCTCGAGTAATTTTGTAGAGTATTTTTTACTGCTACCTTTACCTCATCTCCGCACTTAATTGAGTTCTGAAAGGCAGTGGATGAGTTTGCATTAAAACTGCTCTGAATAATACTTTTCTTTTGTCGATTATATAGAATTAGATATAGTATATAGATATAGTATATATTGTTAAAAACTTTGGATCCTTATTAGACTATGCAAAAAAATGTAATATTAATATTAATAAATAATAGTTTACAAAAATATTTAGAAGTATTCCGAATGGTCATTTCATAATTACTTTTAACCAATAATTATTGTCAACAAATTTTACACTAAAAAATATTCTCTAATTATTGAGAATTATTGCTGAGAGAGAAAATAATTAATAACAAATTTGGAATCTTAATTAAGTTAATTACCTTTTCTTATCATTGTAATCATAGACTATGATATTAATACTATATATAGCATTTTATTATTATCTCTGTCTAAATTGATGCAAATTGAATAGTAGGATTCTTCAAGTATTAATATATGTATATTGTAGTATAAAAATTAAAGAACCATTTGAATTATACAGGAAGCAAACACATATTTTTATATATACTAATGTTGATGGCCATGTGAAAATGCGAATGTAAATGAGTGCCAATTGCTGTCTGTCAGTCTGTCTGTCTAAAACACTGGAAAATTCTTAAAAACTGGTAAAGACGTCTTTAGGCAATGTTTTATTTGACACAACTTATAAATAAACGTAAAAAACACATAAGCACTGACGTGTGAATTTTAAAAGCAGATATAATGAGTCATTTGTGACGAAATAACCTCATATTCCAAACATATTAAAAAAATTTTCAAAATACCTAGAGTTCTTTATGTGTTTTAATAATTTAGCAAAATGAGTCATGCAATCTTAAAACAAATATCATTGAAAATAATATAAATGTTATTAAAGCTTAACACCATAATGATAAAGGTTAACATTATCTTAATTAAATGATAAAAATATGACACACATTTATTTAATCATATACAATTAAATAATATTCATAACTGAATTTACATACATATAATTATATAACATACATATAATTATTACAGCCGATTATTTGAACATTCAAAAAATTAAGTTGATCGGTCATTCGCCGTAGTGTCCTGATTTGGCACCCAATCACGTCTTCTTGTTCCCGAACGTCAAGAATAAATTGCGTGGATAACACTCATGGTATTGGAGGTGTATGAAGAAGATTGAAGATTGAAAACTGTTACTGTTGCACAATAAACAGTTTCTTATTGAGAATAAAGCTGCAGCATCCTACAGTATGTCGTCAATAAATATTTGAGCCTGAATTCAGAATAATTTTTATTGCCACTCTCACAGTATGTAAATGTTATTATTATCAGAATATCATACATATTCTCGATTAATTTCTACAAATTAATCTTTGAATTCAGACTTCACCTCATCGCAAGAGGCCCAATTCTTGGATCTTAAGTGAATCAGTATTTCTGGTAGTGATGGCCAGCCAATATCTATTTATTCAGCACCTAAATTTTGTGTAAGCATCGTTTGTGCAACGATAAAAAGTAGCAGCTTTTACATATTATTGCAATATTGTTATTATTATAAATTCATTAAATAAATTATACATCTATGTACATACATAATATGTAAAGAAGAAATGTCGTCTGTAAACATATTTTCTAGTGCGCTTAGTTCAACCAATTCGAAAGATATCGAAAGATGGATGTATGCATATTTTAGACATGTATATACATACATATATATAAATAAATATATATATATATATTTCTTTAAAAAATTATTAAATAGTCAAATTATAATTTTATTCAATTTTTAGTTAAAAAAAAACTTACGATCTTTTGCTATACTGAATGTAAGTTTACAATTCTTTCTGTATATATATATGTACATACCTATATACATATGTAGAGTAAAATTATGTTTTTAAATTCGATACGATAGTTTTTTAATTTGCTCTTTTCAAAGTGCAGTCTATATAAAAGGCAGTCAATGGCAGGATATTATTTGTCCAGGCCTACTAGTACTATATAATTTAAAGGTAAATTTATAAAAACTAAACATTTAGTAATTAAAATTTGAGATCAATTCAATTTTTGGAAGTTTTTAAATATAATATATTAATTTTAGATATTTACCATAATGAAAATTTTAATATTTTTAAAAATAAAAATAAAATTATAAA